AGAAGAAATTTTGAAAGATATACAGCGTACACATATACAAACATATTCTGATGACGTTTATAAAAGTAAATTTATTAGTTATACTGCATCTTTTTATCAAGGTAATTATATTTAATAACATTTTAACAAATTAAGTTTATACTGTATATTAATATTAATTAAGGATAATATTCTTTCCATTAATATAAAATTTCTGAGCAAACTATCGTGATAATCATCTAATTTCTAAATAGATAAATTATTAATATTCGAATTCTACAAATTTGTAGAATCAGAATAACTAAATTTTTATTGAAATAATTAGGTGGTGATTAAAAAAATTTGAAATTTTTATCAAGATAGAAACTGCGCAGAATTTTTAAAATTTAAGGAACATTGACAACCTCCTAATTAAATTCAAAAAAATTTATTTAAATTCTATGAATTTGTAAATTCGGATAAGATTTTATTAAATTGACTAGGTGGTTGTCAAGATATCTTCGCTTAAATATTTAAAAAAAATTATATTATTGTGGTATGAATACTAGTTGAATATTGTTAAATAATAATAATAATATAAATTATTGTTTTCTAACAGATAGTGGAGTAAATGAGTTGAATATTGATGAATAATACATGAGAGGCGCTCTGATCTGATCAAAAAGGAGGCTAGTGACAAGGCATGATAACGAATAGGCATTATGAATCGTATCTGCTTTGATTATTAAGTTGTTGAAAATATATTATTTTAATGTATATGGGTTGTAGTCCAGTAGAGATCTACCATCAGTACCTACCGGTAGATACTGGTAGATAACGTTAGATTATTAATATGCAGGGTAGATACCATTTAAAAATAGAAACCAATAAAATTTATTATATACTAATATATAAAATATTAAGAAGCTTCTTAAAAGAGTAATAATAAATGTATCAGCATGTTGCCAGAAGCTATAATTGACAATACTATATGTTGACAAGGGTCAACAATTCGAGAAACCGGGCTAAGCACAAAATTCGACCCACCGCCAGTGCACGTGACAAACCTACCAATCAAAATGCTGCACCAACACATGATCTACAAGCCATCGCATCAGTCATCAAAACCCAGCTATAAATACACTTTCGAAACTTTAACCAACTCTGACCTGAGGTGCAAAAATTTTTTCACGCAACAACATGGAGCAAAACATGATTACTAACTCAAGCAATTCAACTAGCACAACACATAGCAATATGCTTACACACATTGATCTTTTCAACATTGATAAAAACACAAAGGCATACATAGATGCAGCTTGTTAGGCTTCATCAAATGCAATTATATACATCATCAAGTCATATATTGATCAAACAATGGCAACACAAACAAATCTGAATAATATGTTAAATAATCATTTAGATACATATTTTAATAATCAGTTAGATCAAAAAACATTATTTGTCTCTAACAGTTTCAATTAAAAAATTAATTACAATCAAACTAACAGAAATAATTTAGGTCACAATCATAAGTTCAATCTTACTAATCTTCAATATCCAAATGAACAAAGTAGTAACAATACAAACTAATAAGATAATTGTTTTCTAATTCTCATTTTAAACAATCTTTTAATTAATTTAAGAGATATTATTACACAAAACAAAGCATACATGATAACTTAACTAATCTTCCAAACTAATACAATGATACATTTAAAATCAACCTATTAAAAGTATCTTTCTATTGAATACATTGATATAGAAAATCTTTCATCTATTCAAGAATTTAATAATTTTCAACCAATTTAATAATTCTCAAGCAGTTTTTATTAAAAGAATTTATTTTTAATGAATTCTAAATTGGCATGATAGGCAAAAGACAATAAAAATAATTTTAAACAAGTTAAACTTATCTATATGATTATAAAAAATTATTGTATTTAGTTTCTATGTAAAACTATATGAATTTATATACAAAAACATAAAACTATTTCTAAAAAATAATAATAAGAATTAAACTCTTACAATAGTTAAAAAAGGCATAATAGTAATTTACAATACAATTAGCTATACAAATTTAATAACATTTCAGAATAGTTTCTAGAATTTAAATTCTATATAGATGTTGTATTTATAATTTTTAATATCAGAGAACAGGAATTAAACATATATTATGATTATATTAATTTTCTCTATATTAAATAAGAATTTGATGTTGTTCTTATATATAATAAAGATAAAAGATTATATTTAACAATAAATTAGAACACAACCTTACTTGATCATAACCTAGAAACTAAAAGTAAAAATTTTGATTCAGTAATTACAAAAAAAACATTGTTCTACCAATTTTTAATAAACATTCAAATCTGATATTAGTTGGAATAATGACAAACAAATATGTATAAATTAGAACAAAAAAGGTTGTTCAGAAGAGCTTAACTGCCAATGTATTCATGCATATCTTATTTACAAGAAGCTTGGCCATTCTGAATGACAATGTTTTTATAACAAACTTCTAATTATGAAATATTTAAAAACTTATAACTACAATATAAACAAATAAAAAAAAACACAAAAAGTGATAAAAAAAAAAAAAAAAGAACTGAGAACATATCTTACCAACAATAAAGTTATACTTAACTGCATAGTATAATATATAATATAGTTAAAAAAAAAAAGCTAACTTAAACAAATATAGCTATTTTCAAACTAGTACTAACATCTCTATAATATACATTTATAGATAATATTACAAATAACTTTAAAAGCCTTCTCAAATATGTAGTACAATTTAAACTAGTCTAAAATATTATCACTAATGAGCTATCAGTTTTATAATCAGTAAAAAAAACCTTTATAACAATTTCTTCTTCAGATGTTTTACTAACTTCTACTAAACAAAACTACTAACTTAACTAGATTTATATGTTTTTAGTATACAAACACTAATTAATGTCTTAGCATTTCAATACCTAACAAGATCTTATTCTAGATAATCTTTTATTGAGTATTTCACTAATGGCATCAAACATAATTTCAGATTTAACTTTAAATAGCCTTAAACTAGGCTAATTTAGAACAATTTATAATTAATTAACAATTTATCTAATGTCTTTCACATATATATAAATAATAAACTTATTAGCAATCAGATTTGTAATCCATTTTATATAAACAAACCCTTATGTAATTTATTTTAAACAAATTTATGCAGCTTAGTAGCAAGAAAAAACACAAATTCTACAGAATACAAAGTAATATCACATCTGTCTTATCTCTTTAACTATAGTATAAATAATAGTATAGATAAATTAGATTTTATAACAAAATATGAAAATGTAATATATGCAATTCAATAGATTAACTATTTCAGCAAGGGGTGTATTTTATCAAGATAAACATAAAAGATATATATCAAATTATTTCTGTTTATTCAGTAAACTAAATATTACAGAGCATTAAGTATAAAAATAATATATATTTTGACAAAGTTCTTACTTTTAGAAATAGAGCTTCAGGTAGTATTTTTTGTCATTTTGCAGACATTATAATATAAATTGCAGCACAGCAAAGCATTTCTACTATAATCTATTATATAAATAATTTTTTAATTATTTCTCAAACATCTGACTTATATAAGCTAGAGCAATTTATATAAATTTTGAATATTCTAAATATTCTATATAAAAGTTTGAAGATAGAAGATCCCAGTACAACTGGTACTTTCTTAAATATAACATTAAATATTATTATTATGTTAGCCTTTATATCTATTCACAAGTATAATAAAATAATATATTCTATTACAATAGTTAGCTAAAAAATGATGTTTTCAGAAAGATTTTTAATTATTAGTTAGTCTACTCATCAGAGTATGCTAAATTATTCTACAAGGTTGTTTTTTTATCTAATATTTAATTAAAGTACAAAATAATGTTACTAATTTTAAACATCATGTTTGGATAACTAAACCTATAATAGCTAATATAAATAGTAGTTATTAATAATATAAGTATAGTCAGCATATAATTAATGCTTGATCAGAACTGACTTCAATTATACATTCTAAATATATTTAGTGATGCATCAAATATAGACAGTAATGTCACATATTAAAGCTACTTTACAGTATTTAATTGGTCTAAATCACTAAATCTTTTCTCTATAAGCATCCAAATTCATGCAGTACAAGCATTTGCCTTATTATAGAAAAAAAAATTAATAATCTGAACTAACAACTTAGCCAATACTGAAACATATTATGCAGAATACTGCAAAACCCAAACATCAATGAAATCATTGTCAACTTATACAAAGTCCAAATTATAAGAAATTTTAGCATAAAAGTCAAACATATACCAAAAGCAAAAAATATAAATGCTAACCTACTATCTTGCAATAGGCATTATAAATTTATCTTCAACAATCCATCAGTCAATATCTTCAATCTGATATTCTTTCTAAATTTAAAGAACTAATCTCACTTATCTTATTATTTAAACAATAATGCTAAAACTCAACATGCCACCTACATCATACCAATTATATTCTAATAACAATAAATCTATTTTTTTTGGTAACTAATCAACTTTAAACAAAAAAACATTATATTAAACATTTTAGCCTCTATCAACAAATCATATAAAGTAGTCATCAAGTATTATAAATTATTAGCTTGCAGCAATAATTAGATGAACCAAAATAGAACCATATAGCCAGTATTAAAAGACTTTCTCATAAATATATAATTCTCTTATACAAAATAGTTACACCATTTACTATTGCTACTTATCTTTCAGTACTGAAGCACCATTACTTAAAGAACTACTATGACTGGTCTAGCATCTATAATGATCTTCTAGTTATCTAACTTCTAAAAACTATTAATGCAGTTTACATTCACAAGCCAGTTAAACAAAAAGCACATATTACATAATAATATTAACATATATTCAAGACAGAATCAACATAAACAATTTACTAAATTTTTTTTTTGAATAATATTACTAACAGCTTTTTATACTTTCATATACCTTGGTGAACTTTTGCCAAACAACTAAGCCAATACCAACAAAGTTTCAATATTACATGCTCTAAGCTTTGAGAAGATAAACAACATCATATTTGCAACAATATAGCTAGCTAAAACTAAGAATCACAAAACAGCAAACAGAATTTTTCTAATAATAAACCTTATAAATAATTTATTATGCTCTGTATATGCCCTCAAATTATATACACAAGTATGCATACAACTCCATTATGCCAAAATAGCATGATGCTTTTTATTAAGTCTGATGGCATATAGGCAACAAAACAATAGTTTATATTAAAGCTCAAGCAACTTCTTCTTCACAAGGATGTTGCAGGGCACAGTTTTTGAGCTAAAAGCATTACTGAATTAGTTATATGAGGTGTTCAACTTGTACTAATACAAAAAATTGGCAGGTAAAACTTCAAATTATATTACAGATATATATGTAACCATCTAGCTACTATTGCATTTATTCTAACCAAAGCATACTTTAATTAACCTTTTTATAACAACTTAAAACAAAGCTGGCTCAATTAACAAAATAAACAATACAATAGCAAAATCCAAATATATATAAAAAAAAAAGTACTATACACAAATAACAATAGCAGAATAAAATTAAATAGAAATATACTAATAACAAAAAAACAAAAAAAAAAAGTAATAGTAAGAGAAGTAAAAATAATCAAGAACAAATAAAAAAATATCTAGCACTATACCTAACTTGAGGCAGCATGGCCTACAGCAAGCATAACAAATCTAGCTAACATAATAAGCTAATATTAGCTCAGCTTAACAAAAAACAAACTTGCACAAACTTGCAAATATAACATCTAATCATTTAGCATCCAAGTATACAGTTGTGACAAGAGTATAAAGTTTATACAATCCAATCTTATATCTTAAATTTAGTTTTTCTGTATTGGCTACACTACTTTCTCAGTCTTTTCTAGTATGCAGATAATACTAATAAAATAAAAAACAAAACTTATATATACATATATATATAAGAATAATAATTAACAATAATTACAAAGAAATAATACAAATATAATACAAATAATAAATATAAAAAACCTACAAAATAACAGAATTATACAATTTTGAAGCTATTATTTAATTTTGTTATTTTAATAACTGATTTGCATTAGCAGTAGTATTCTTATAAACTTGAACTGAACTGAACTTTGGTCAAGTTCAGGTTTAGGTTTAGTTTAATACTGAATCTAAATTTGAACTTTTTTTTAAAAAAAGTTTAGTTCAGGTTTAGTATTAAAATTTAATT